GGATTGTGAATTTCCACCAGTTTTCAGTTCCCCTTCCCCAGTGTAGGACGGGATGGCTACAGTGGGCTGGAGTTGGGCATTTCTCTTCCACAGGTCAGTTAGATGCTAATAAAACCCCAGTAGGTTATTGGGGCATGCCTTGTTATGACTGCTCTAGGTGTATTTCAAAATAGTGACCTTCCCCTCCTCTGCAAAAGCACAATGGGGATTTTTCTCCAATCTTTACTATGAGAACTTGGTTGGCCTCCTGGTGGTAAAACTCATAAAAGTGTCCCCTGTGACTGGGACCCCTTGGAATCTTTAACTCTCAGGTGTGTCCGTACTGAGCCTCTTGCAATTTGTCCATTACAGTTTCGATTTTTTTTTAAAGATTTTATTTATTTATTTGACAGAGAGAGACACAGCAAGAGAGGGAACACAAGCAGGGGGAGTGGGAGAGGGAGAAGCAGGCTTCCCACTGAGCAGGGAACCCGATGCGGGGCTTGATCCCAGGACCCTGGGATCATGACCTGAGCCGAAGGCAGACGCCTTAACGACTGAGCCACCCAGGCGCCCCACAATTTCGGCTTTTCTACCCCTGTACTTGTTCACACAGAACTTTCTGCTAATGTGTTTCTGCTCTGGTAATTTTTTTGTAAGGACATGTTTTGATTCCCTTCTCATTTCCTTTTGTTTATTCTATAGGAATTTTCTTTGTAGTTACCACGGGGATTACATATATCTTAAAATTATAACAATCTATTTTAAATTGATACCAACTTCAATTGCAGATGAAAGCTCTACTCCTTTATAGGTTGGCATCTTTGTTACTGATATCACAAATTACATCTTTTTTTTCCTTTAAAAGATTTTATTTGATTGGCCAGAGAGAGACACAGCCAGAGAGGGAACACAAGCAGGGGGAGTGAGAGAGGGAGAAGCAGGCTTCCTGTGGAGCAGGGAGCCTGATGCGGGGCTCGATCCCAGAACCCTGGGATCATGACCTGAGCCGAAGGCAGATGCTTAATGACTGAGCCACCCAGGCGCCCCTCACAAATTACATCTTTAACAGATTTATATTTCATGCATTTTTCCTTTAAATCTTATTTAAAAATTAGAGTTGCAAACCAAAATTACAGTTTTTATATTTATCCATGTATTTTTCAGCTATCTTAGTATTTTTTTTTTTAAGATTTATTTGACAAAGAGAGCGAGAGAGCACAAGTAGTGAGAACAGTAGAGGGAGAGGGAGAAGCAGGCTTCCCACTGAGCAGGGAGCCTGATGCGGGGCTCGATCCCAGGACCCTGAGATCATGACCTGAGCCAAAGGCAGACGCTTAACCATCTGAGCCACCCAGGCGCCCCTATCTTAGTATTTTTTAAAATCAGGTAACTTAGTATTTTTAATGGCTTCCAAGTACTGTCTAGTGTCTTGTAGTGCCTGATATAGGGAGATGGGAAATACTCCATCCCCAAATTCCTAGTTTACCTGTAATATCTTCCTTAATTTCATCCTTTGATTCATGACTTTTGCTAAAAAACAAAACAGAAACCCCAAACATTCCTCAAGCATATACACTTCCCAAAGATGTTAAGAGCAATTAGGAGCAAACAGGATTTCACGTTCAAATTAGTTTGGATTATGCTCATATAAGCCAGTTAAATGGGAGTTTTGTCTTTTTTTTTTTTTTCTAACTGCAGTTTTGATATGCTCCTGTGCTTTGTGAATTGTGGGATTAGAGGTTATAATAGTTAAGATGCAGATATGGTACTTGGAGGAGGTAACTCAAAGTCACTCATTATAGCAACCACATTGATTTTAGTAGAACATACAACATTATGTTTTTAATAAAAATACCTTACAAAAGATGCTGGGACTTGCTCAAATTCTCAATTGTTATGATGGAGTTTAGATATACAAATTCCAGAATTGCCACAGAATTATCTTTCATTGCATTTCAAGAATCCCTCGCTATCCAAAATCTACTTGTTTTCTGAGTTTCTGATAGCATAGAATACTACATTAACCAAATCAATAGGACTTCTGTTTTTCAGCAAGTGACTATCTAAAGCAAGAATTGACAAACTTTTTCTGTAATGGGTTGGGTAGTAAATATTACAGGCTTTGCAAACCACTTGGTCTATCACAGGTACTCAGTTATGTTATAGTGTGAAAGCAGCCAGACAAAATGTGAATATATGTGGTTCTGTTTTAATGACTTTATGAACACTGAAGTTTGAATATCATATAATTTCATGTTACTTTTTTTTTAATTTCAACCAATTTAAATGTAAAAACCATGCTTAGCTTCCAGGCCATACAAAAACAGGTAGTGGTCTAGATTAGTTTGCTGTCCCCTGATTTACAATGTGATAATAAGGTTTTATCTAAAGTATTTGATTTCTGGGGTACCTGGGTGGCTGTAAGTTAAGTGTCTGACTTCAGCTCAGCTCATGATCTCAGGGTCCTTGCTCAGCAGAGGGTCTGCTTCTCCCCCTGCCCCCCAACCCCACTTGTGTGCACCCACACTCTAATAAATAAGTAAAATCCCTAAAAAACGAAAAATAATTTGATTTCTGACTTCAGGTAATGGGTTCAGATTCTGAATGTTTTAATAGACTGCTAGAATGAATTTGTACTTCTAGAACTATGATACTAAATTATGTTTTTGTGATCTAGTTATTTTGACATCAGGAATATGAAAGTCATAAAAACAGATGGTGAGCTTGTTTTCTCATTTGATTTGGATACAATATTTGACAAATTTTGCCCATAAAATGATCTGGCTTGATCTAAGTGATCTAAGTTTGACTATATTCAAACCTTTTCCCCCCTGCATTTATCATTTTACTCTATGAAGGGTTTACACCTCCTACTTCTGACAAATTGTTTTTCTACAAATATTGTATACTTTGCTAGATTTCTAATTATTAGTAAATATGATAATCTCATCATGTCCATATTTCATGTATTCATCTGTCTCCTATTTTCCCCCCTCAGAATCACCAATGTTTACATATTTTTCTGTCAAAGAAATAATTTTATTTTCCTTGAATTATTTTTGCCATTTTTTTTTAAAGATTTTATTTATTTGACAGAGAGAGACACAGCAAGAGAGGGAACACAAGCAGGGGGAGTGGGAGAGGGAGAAGCAGGCTCCACCCTGAGCAGGGAGCCTGATGCAGGGCTCGATCCCAGGAACCTGGGATCATGACCTGAGCTGAAGGCAGACGCTTAACGACTGAGGAACCCAGGCGCCCCTTTGCTGTTTATTTTTACTACCTTTAATATATTTGAATGTAGCTTGCTGTTACTCTTCTTGCTTTTTGTTTTGTACATTTATTAATAATCTCTTGGTGTTTGACCTATCAGCATCCCTAAAAACTCGAAAATACTCTTAATAGAGAACAAACTGAGGGTTACTGGAGGTGAAGTGGGCAGGGGATGGATTAAATGGGTGATGCGTATTGAGAACACGTGATGTGATGAGCACTGGGTATTTTATGTAAGTGATGAATCACTAAATTCTACACCTGAAACTAATATTACACTGTGTGTTAAATGTAATTTAAATTAAAACTTGAAAAAAAGAAAAAAAACCAGCATGCCTATTGGGCTATACTTTATTTGAATACAGAGTTAGCTGCTCTCAGGTTTTTCTACATAATGTGTTCATTTTCATTCATTTAAATATAATTCAGGGATTGATTTCCTTCTGATTCATGTTATTTGGAAGGGTATTATTAATACTCAGATATTGTTGGCTATCACATTTTAGTTTTTTTCCCCATTTTGAAAAAGAATGCGACCTACATATGGTCTACTTTGGGTGGAAAGTGAGTAAATATTTCATATTTTTCTCTGTTTTGACAAATGAATTTTGTTATTCTCAATATGTAAATAGATTTTTGGACAGGCATAAAATTATTGCACAGCATGAAATATAGATGTAAATGTAGACTCATTCAACCATTCTTTTTCTTTCTCGACTTTTACATCCTAGGATTTTTTTTCCTTTTCAAACTTTATGCTGAATAAGGAATAAATGTTGGTGAGAAGCTTTTCTACAAACGTTTACACCCACTGGCCATTCTCATTACGAATTCTTTGATGTCAATTAAGGTGTATAACATGGTTAAAGTCCTTTCTATAAATAATAATAATGGTGGAGGTACGGATACTAGTATTAAATAACATCTGCTAGATAGTTACTATATGTTAATAACAATGCCCCCACCCCAAATAACAATCCCAACCATTTTCTTTTTTTCTCTTTTGAGAGAGAAAGCTCAAGCATGGGAAGTAGGCAGAGAATTCCAAGCATGCTCAGTGAGAACACCAAGCATGGAGCTTGATCTCACCACCCTGAGATCATGACCTGAGCCGAAATCAAGAGTTAGATGCTTAACCAACTGAGCCACCCTGGTACCCCTCATTTTACATTTTTTGTTGTTGTTGTTAAAGATTTTATTTACTTGAGAGAGTGAGAGAGAGGGAGGGTATGAGCAGGGTGATGGGCAGAGAGAAAAGCAGGCTCCCCACTGAGCAGGGCTTGATCCCAGGACTCTGGGATCATGACATGAGCCAAAGGCAGAGACCCAACCGACTGAGCCACCCAGGTGACTCTCATTTTACACTTCTTAACTCATATAATCCTCACAGCAATCCAACACATTAGTGTGTATGTGTTATGTACATTCATACACAAAAGTATAAAGCAGCACTAACTTTTCTATAAGTATTACAAGTATTTATGTATTTGGTTTGTGTGAACACATTTGTGAGCAAAAATAGTTTTTAAAAAAAAGGTCTGGAAGGATAAAGAGCAAATCGGTAACAGTGATTACAATAATGGGACAAACTATTGGCAATATTTTTCACAGAGAAAATACTGATCAGTATTTTGACACTGAAATGTAATGTTTTTAAAGAAAAATAAACAAAAGCACTAACTTTGTATTTAGAAGGCAACTTTCTTAATAACTAAAATTTCAGTGAGCACCATAAAGTATGTCAGTAATATTTAGCAAAATGATAATCTACCACAGAAAAATTATACCATTAAAAAGAATGATAAACATCTATAGTTACTGAAATAGTAGCATGATAGAAGCAAGTTATGGCACAACATGCACATCATGATTACACTAAAGTTTGGAAGGATATGTTGTATAATTTGAAAATAGTAATTTCTTTTTGGTAGGCTTACAAATAACCTATTTTTTTCACTGTGTGTGGGGGGGGGTTGTTTGTTTTTTTTATAACATGAAAACTTAATGTTACAAAAGGAAAAGGAATAGAGCTGCCTTCAAAAACGAAGTTATAATTCTGCCAGGAATTAGAAGATAGCCTATGTAATGTAACTTACAGTATAGTATTGGTACAAACAGATCTATGGGTTAGATAAATAGAAAAGATGGCTCTAAACTAAGCTAACAAACTCAAACTCAAATATATAACCAAGAAGTAGCATAAAACAATGGGGAGGAAAGAATTATTTAAGTAGTAGTTTGGGACAGAATTTTTTTTGGAGGGAAGGGAGGTTTAACTCAAACCTTGAATTTACATTTTGAAATATTCAACAAATTATGTATAAAAGAAAATTACAAATAGGTTAGAAAAACAATGTTAACAGTGTTATGGGTTAAATTATGTTGAAGCCCTAACCTCTGGCACCTGTGAATGTGATCCTACATGGAAATAAGGTCTTTGCAGATGTAATCAAGATAAGGTCATCAGGGTGAGCCCTAATCCAGTATGACTGATGTCCTGTATAAGAGTCTCCTCTTATACAAGACAGAGACAGATATACACAGGGAGAATGCAATGTAAAGATGGAGGCAGAGATTGGAGTGATGCATTTATAAGACAAGGAATGTCAAAGATTGCTATTACCAGAAACCAGAAGAAAGACATGGAACAGATTCTTCCTCAGAGTCCTCAGAAGGAATCAACATTACCAACAACTTTAATTTTGGATTTCAAAGCTCCAAAACTGTGAGAGAACACATTTCTGTTGTTTTAAGTCACCCAATTTTGGTACTTTGTTACTTTGTTACAGTAGCCTAAAAAACTACTACACTGCTTTATTTTTTTCCCCATTACCTGTTTTTAAGATATTATTATAAAGATTATCAACAGGGCTTATCTTTCACCCAGTATGAATTCCTTCATGACGAATAAGGTCAGAGCGACTACCAAAGGCCTTTCCACATTCCTTACAGTCATAGGGTTTCTCACCAGTGTGAATTCTTTGATGTCTAGTAAGGTTTGAGCCTTTATTAAAAGCCCTCCCACATTCATTACATTCATAAGGTTTTTCATCTGTATGGATTCTCTGATGCTGAATAAGTTCTGAGCTCTGAATAAAGGACTTTCCACATTCCTTACATTCATAGAGTTTCTTGCCTGCATGAATTCTGTGATGGTTAGTAAGTGTTGAGGCACTACTAAAGGCCTTCCCACATTCCTTACATTCATAAGGTTTCTCACCAGTATGCATTCTTTGATGTTGAATAAGCCTTGAGTGTTGAGTAAAGGCTTTCCCACATTCCTTACATTCATAAGGTTTCTCACCAGTATGAATTCTCAGATGTGGAAAAAGTTGAGAACTCTTAGTAAAGGCTTTTCCACATACTTTACATTCATAGGGTTTCTCACCAGTGTGAATTCTTTGATGATCATTGAGGTTTGAGCAATAATTAAAGGCTTTTCCACATTCCTTACATTCATAGGGTTTCTCACCAGTGTGAATCCTCTGATGTTGAGAAAAATATGAACTACAACTAAAAGCCTTGCCACATTCCTTACATTCATAGGGTTTTTCACCAGTGTGAATCCTCTGATGTCGAGTAACAAGTGAGCCACGGCTAAAGGACTTCCCACACTCCTTACATTCATAGCTTTTTTCAGCAGAATGAGTTCTCTGATGTTGAATAAATTGTGAGTTCTGATTAAAGGCCTTTCCACATATCTTACATTCACAGGGTTTCTCTTCATTAACAGTTTTTTGATGTGGAGTAAGAAATGTGGGCTGAATAAAAGTGGGCATGTCTTCATGGGTAAATATTACTTGACTAAAATGTCTCTTCTTTAGGGATAATATCTTGGTCTCACACATAGACTCCAGATCTGAAAGAAAATAAAAAGGCGTGTGTTCATTTTTCCTATCTTGGGAGAGATTAAAACTTCTAAAAAAGAAAAAAAAGATTAAGGTGAAAATAATATCTGGGAAAGTAAATGCTTAAATAGTTCTCAAATATGGCTAAGCAATTTTCAAAACTAATAACAAAAGCATGGACATTAAGGAGAGCCAAGAGAGGAAATTCAAGAGGGTGATTAGGGAAATAAATGACCTCTATCCTGAAATTCTGATGTGAACCAGAATCACCTGAAACTTCCATAAATACACCCTATTCAGGGATACTCTCCATATTTTACAGTGATTCTAATCATATATACATGTTTATAAGCATACACCCTCACACACAGCATATTGTATGTCTCATAGTTTGTGGGTAATTGACCTACATAAAAAGACTACTAAGGAATAAATGTGTTGAAATGTATAAATGGGGGGTGCAGTCTGAGACTGTGCAAAGGGTGTACTGTTGGCAAATCCACAATGGGGGATACCCTAGCCTAAGGTGCTCAATGAAACTGGCCAAGAATGGTTTCAGGTAATTCTATGGATAGAGCCTGATATATTGGGGATTCACTGAAAATAGTTTGCCTTGGAATTCTCTGATGCTGACTTTGGGAGAGAGGAATGGAATCTCTCTCATGGCAGTGACTAAGGAGGCAGCTTGAATATGAGAAAGAAGAGAGTAAGAATGAAATATACTCTGAGAAGAGAGGTACTCCATGTCCACATTTTTTGTCATTCTGCATGTTTTGTCATTTCATGCATGCCAGGAAAGCACTACAAGTATTGATTCTGAGTTTACAAATTTTAGCAAGTAGGTGAATTCATACATATGGAATCTGTAAAGAGTGTCAACTGTACTTTTAATTAAAAAGGGGGACAATTTCTGTTAAAAATGACAGACTGAACCTGTGACTTTTCCATTGCTTGTTCATTAATCCATAGGAAAATTACAATAGAAGCTTTAACAAGAGAAAAGAAAAACCTCACTAGGACAATGAATAGTGGAGAAGAGACAGTAGCAATAAAATCTGAAAGCTAAAAAGCCAATGAATGAGTGATAAATGAGTACGCAGACCAGAGAAGCCAAACTGAGTCTGTAGTGGATGAATTCAACAGCACTAACTGATAGTGCAGGTCCCTGAAAATGCAGAATTGAAGGCATCAGGCATTTCTAATAGTGGGATACACAGAGAATGCTGAAAGCTAAAGAATGAATTCAAGATTGTATTAGTAGTGAGACCCCTAGGATCCTTTCCCCTATCCCATACAGGATTATAAAGAATTTATTTATTTATTTGACAGAGAGAGAGACAGTGAGAGAGGGAACACAAGCAGGGGGAGTGGGAGAGGGAGAAGCAGGCTTCCCACAGAGCAGGGAGCCTGATGTGGGGCTCGATCCCAGGACCCTGGGATCATGACCTGAGCCGAAGGCAGGAGCTTAACGACTGAGCCACCCAGGGGCCCCTCCATATAGGATTATACTTCCCTATTCTCACAGAAAACTAGAAATACAGAAAAATGGAACCAGAGGGAATCCGGATTCAGGAACATCAGGCATAGCTGTGGTTATGGGTATACTGAGAACAAAAGATTAACAGAAAATATATATACTTGTGATAAAATAAAGAATATATCTGGTCTTTGTTCCTGGTTCCTGGCACAGAGTTTCACAAACCACTGGAATTTCCTGACTGGAGAGTCTTTTGTTATTCACAAGCTCCTTTTGATCATACCTGAGTTTTCCTAATGAGATGATTCACAGTGGGCACTTAGCTTCAAGGGAGGGTCTGGTCACTCATTGACTACATAATCAAACCCCAATAAAAAAACTCAGGGCAAGGACTGGGGTAAGCTTCCTGGTTGGTAACTATATGATGTACTTGGAGGGTGACACACCTTGATTTCATGGGCATAGAATTTCTTGTGCTTGGTACCTCCTAGACCTTGCCCTGTGTATGTCTTCAGCTAACATTTCATTGTATCCTTTATATAAAATGGCAATCATAAGTACAGTGCTTTTCATGAGTTTTGAGTTGTTCTTTTTGTTTTTTAGTTTTGTGAGTTGTTCTAATGAATTATCAAACCTGAGGGGGGGTGTGAAACTCTAAATTTAGTCAGCCAGACAGATATACGTGTAGCCTGGGGATCCTGGTTGCAACGAGTATCTGAACTGGTGGGCACATTGCCCTTTAACTTGTGGAATCTGATGTTAACTCCAGGTAGTGTCAGAATTGAGTTAAAGTGTAAGACATCCATTTGTTCTCAGAAAATTTGTGCAGGCCACAATACTGAAATAGCCCTGTTGATTTCATCCCAATTTAGCCCCCAGAACACTGATAATAACTTAACTCCCTCAACTAGGAATGAAAGTGAAGGTCTCTTCTCACAGGAAGATTATGTGTAAGAGAAAAGACCAAGTTACCAAAAGTGGGCTGTCCTCAGTATATTAACCCAACCAGATCATCATAAAGTAAACAAGACCCAATCCCTACTACACAGAAGTTCCAATCATCTTTTTAGTATCTCATACTTAAAAATGATTAGTAAGCCATTGTTTATCAGACATTTGAGAAATGTTTTTTAACATGAAGAGCCCAAAAGAGAAAAAAGTATCTGTGAAAGAAACAATCAATGCAAGGAACAGAAGAAAATGTCAAAACATACAAGGAATAACCTCAGAGAGCTAACAGAATTAAACAGGCAGAAGATACTAAATAAAGGAATACTAAGATAACACACACACACAAAGTTCTTAGAAATTGAAAATACAATAATGAAAAAAAATACTTTTAAAAACCCCAAAAGTTCCTGTCTAAACTTGGAATGTGCACAAAATTCTGGCTTCGTTTCTCAATTGACCCTGGAGAAATTATAGAGAATTTGGTTTTATATGGAACTGATGCAAACTGAAATATTCTAGGGAGATTGAAGACTGGTGCAAACTTGTGTGTATTTTAGGGTGGAGGCTACTTGCTTGGAGAGATGGTAACAGAAGGCAAGGAGAGGCTGGCCTGGTAGTAAAGTCTTTAAACTCTGATTTAGCCTTTCCCTGAAATGCCCTGGGACCACTGTGGCCTGTGCCTTTACCAAAGAAATTGGTGGCAACTGCTCAAGCAGCTGAGTAAGTAGGATAACCTAATGGTAAAGAAAAAGTTCTGCTGGACAGAAGAATATGGCTGACCACCTGCTCTCAGGCATCTGCTCTACCTTCTCAGCTAGTAAAACCCCTAGAGTTGGTGGATTACAAAAAGGGAAGGCATACTCCTCCTGTAGATGCTGCTGCTTTGTAAATGTTGAAAGATCAAACCCTGATGAGAAGAATTACCTGGTAGAGCAACAGCAAATAAAAGTTATCGGAGGTGAACCCTTAGGTTTCAGGGCTCGTCATCCTGAGCTCATCTCCTTCCATTTCTTAAATCTACCTGGAGGAACACAGACCTGGATCTATCTCTTGGCCCTTCCCCAGACACACTGCCAGACAGTGATTGATATCCTCTTGGGAACATGAACTCACAGGCCAAAATGGCCACACACCAGAGGGTACAACTGTTGTTGAAATAAGACCACAACTACCATGATCATCTTGACAGATACAGAAAAACTGTAGAATGTGGCCAACACCTATTTATGGTAACTCTGAGCAAATCAGCACTGCAAAGTAATAGCTGTAACTTGGTAAACGTTATCAGAGCTATAACAAAAACTGTAGTTAAGTGAAGAATTTTAGATATGCTCCCTATAAGATGGGGAAAAAGAAATGGATGCCCATTACCAATGTTACCAATTAAGACAGTCCTGGCTACCATTATAAGCAAGGAAATAACAAGTATGAGGATTGTAAGGGAAGAGATAAATCTAACAATATGCAGATAATATAATGATCTAACTAGAAAAACAAAGAATAAAAAATTAACTTCAGTAAATTTGTTGGACTTTGAAGTTAAAGATCAACTTAAAAATTAATAATATTTTGAGTAACATTAGCAAGATGGTGGAATAATAAGTGCTAGATTCTCCTGACTCCCACAAACACATCAACTCAACAGCAATACATGGATCAATTCCCTGTGTGAGAAATCTAGAAACTCGTTAAAAGAATCCTACATCCTAGGCAAGGGTGGAGCCAGCCATATCAAAACTAGTAGGAAAACTGGAGACACCTTCTCACCATGATCTCCATTCCTGGCATAATGCCATACAACTGGGAGGAAAGATCCAGCTTCTCCCTGAATACAAAAGAAGTTGGGAGTGCACATCCAATATCTCAACTTTTCTGAGTGCTGCCTAACTGACCGTCTTGGAGGCTTGATTAGACCTGGGGTACCCTAGGCCCCTGGGGACTACAGAGAACAAAAGCACTGGTTTGAACTAGCATGCAGGCACTCACCACAGCTCCTTTCCCTGCTCAGTGCAGAGTGAGTGGGAGGAAAACTTCAGCTCCCAGCTTCTCCCTGGAGAAGGAAAGAGGTGGACTGTGTGTCAAACATTCCAACTTTTCTGGGGTTTGCCTAAGGGACTGGAACCTGTCTCATCAGTCTCAGAGTGCTGTTGGAACCCAGCAGATTCAAGATACCTGAGGGCCACCAAGAACAAAGAAGGTAGTTTGAACTAGCACACAAACTCACCATAGCTCCTCCTCCTGGCCTAGTGCAGAATGAATGGGTGGAAAACTCCACCTCCAGCTCGCACCATCTCCTTGAGGATGAAAAGAGTTGGACCATGCATCCAATTTTCTAACTTCTTTGGAAGCTACCCAAGGGACTGGCTTCTATCTCATTATTTCAGGACCCGGCATACACTGGACCCCCAAGGACTACAGAAAACAAAGGGAGTATTTTAACTAGCATGAAGGCACCATAGCTCTTACACAAGTGGGAGAAAAACCCCAGCTCCCAGTTTCTTCCTATGAGAGGAAAGAGTGCATCAAATGTGTCAACTTTTCTGGGGATTACTTGAGAGACTGGCTTCTATCTTGGAGCCCTGGAGGGACCTGGCATATTCTAGATACCTGGGAGCCACAGAGAAAAAAGAAGGTGAAAGTGATTCAAACTAGCATGCAAACACCTGCCATAGCCCTTTTCCCCATTCTAGGGCAGAGCTGGCAGGCAAAACACTCCAGCTCCCACATTCTCTCTGGAAAGGAAAAGAAACTAGACCACATATCCAATGTTCTAATTTCTTCAGGAGCTACATGAGGCATTGGTGCTGGTTTCAGAGCATTGATGGGACTTGGCATACTCTAAACACCTGGAAGTCATTAATAAAGACAGTGGTTTAGACTAGCATGAACGTTTGAGAGGCTCACAGAAGCTCTGACTGGTGAAGGTCTTCTCTTCTATGAGGCTAATCCATAATGAACGGGACAAGTGGCATTTTTCTTAACATGTAAATACCAACACAAAGAATCAAGAGAAGAAAATGAAGTAGAGAAACATAATCCAAACAAGGAAACAAAATAAAGCTCCAGAAAATTACCCTAATGAAATGTAGGTAGAGGAATTACCTGACAGAGAATTTTAAATAACCATCATAAAAATGCTCAATGAGCTCAGGAGAACAATGCATGAGGAAACTGAGAATTCCAACCATGAGACAGAAAATTTAGAAAAAAAAAAAAAAAGAAAAAGAAATCTTGGAGCTGACGAATACAATAACCGAACTGAAACTTTCAATAAATGGATTCAACATTCAACAGATTAGAGCAAGCAGAAGAATGAATCAGTGAATTAAAAGACAGGTCTTTTGAAATTACCCAATCAAAGGAACAAAAGGAAAAGAGAATAAAAAAGTGTGAAGAAAGCTTAAGGTTCTTATGAGATACCACGGGATGGTCCAATATACACATTATGGGAGTTAGAGGCAGAAGACAGAAAGAACAAGAACACTTACTCAAATTAGTAATGGATGAGAACTCCCCAAATCTGGGTAAGGAAACGGACGTCCAGACTCAGGAAGCCAAAGTATTCCAAAAAAGATGTACACAAAGAAATCCACACTGAGACATCATTAGAATGTCTTTGTCAATAGTCAAAGGCAAAGAGGGGTGATTGTCTGGCTCAGTTGGAAGAGTGTGCAGCTCTTGGGGTTGTGAGTTTAAGCCCCATGTTGGGGGTAGAGATTACTAAAAAAATAAATAAAAACTTCAAAGGAAAAGAGAATTTTGAAAGCATCAAGAGATGACAAATTGTCACGTAACTAGGGAACCCCCACAGGACTATGAACTGATTATTCAGCAAAATTTTGAAGGCTAGAAGGGAGCATGATGATATATTCAAAGTGGTGAAAGAAAAAACTTGCCACTCAAGAACATTACACCCAGAAAAACTGTTCTTCATGAACAAAGGAGAGACTTTTCCCAAACAAAACCTGAGGGAGTTCATCACCACTAGACCTGCCTAAAGAAAGTTTTTCAACCTAGAACGAAAGGATGATAAACAGCAACATAAGGGAATTAAAAAAGTATAAAATCCTGTTTGCAAAGGCAAATATATAGACAAACACAGAATACTGTAATACTGTAACACTGGAGGGTAAATTACTTTTAATTCTAGTATAAAAGTAAAAAGGCAAAGGTATTATAAATAACTACATAAAAATACGTTAATGGATACACTACGAATAGATTAAATTACACCATCAGTAACAATATATGGGGGAATAAGAAGTGTTTTTGTATGTGACAGAAATTAAATTCTCAGCTTAAAACATATTGTTACAAGATATTTTACAAAAGCCCCAGGATAACCACAAAGAAAATACTTATAGAGATTATAAAAAAGAAAGAAAGGAATCAAAGCATATCAATACAAAAAAAAAAAAATCAAAGAAACAAAAAGACAGGAAGAAAAGAAAAAGGACAAAAGAACTACAAGACCAGAAAAACAAAAGGGGCGCCTGGGTGGCTCAGTCGTTAAGCGTCTGCCTTCGGCTTAGGTCATGATCCCAGGATCCTGGGATCCAGCCCCACATCGGGTTCCCTGCTCAGCGGGAGGCCTGCTTCTCCCTCTCCCACTCCCCCTGCTTGTGTTCCCTTTCTCGCTGTGTCTCTGTCAAATAAATAAATAAAATTAAAAAAAAAAATAGAACAGAAAAACGACAAATAGCAACAGTAAATCCTTTCCTATCAATAGTAACTTTAGGGCGCCTGGGTGGCTCAGTTGGTTAAGCGACTGCCTTCAGCTCAGGTCATGATCCCAGGGTCCTGGGATCGAGTCCCACATCAGGCTCCCTGCTCGGAAGGGGGTCTGCTTCTTCCTCTCCCTCTGTTGCTCCCCCTGCTTGTGCTCTTTCACTCTGTCAAATAAATAAATAAATAAAATCTTTAAAAAAAGAAAAAATAGTAACTTTAAACGTAAGTGGATTAAACTTCCCAAAGTGGCTGAATGGATAAAACAAGATCCAACTATATGCTGTCCTCAAGAGACCCACTTTAGATTTAAGGACACACATATCGGCTGGAAGTGAAGAGATGGCAAAAGATATTCCATGTAAATGGTAACCTAAAGACAGCTAGGGTGGCTATACTTATATCTGGCAAAACAGATTTTAAGTCAAAAACAGTCACAAGAGATGCAGAAGGACATTATATAATGATAAAAGGGTCAACTCACCAGGAAGATACAGCAATTATAAATATGTACACACCCAACATCAGAGCACTTACGTATATAAAGCAAACACTGACAAAACTAAAGTGAGACATAGACAAAAATAATTGGACACTTCAATGGCCTACTTGCAATAATAGATAAAACAACCAGACAGAAAATAAACAGTGACTTGAATACTACCATAGATCAAATGGACCTAACAGACCTATATAGAACATTTCACTCAGTAGTAGCAGGATATATTCTTATCAAGCACACATGGAATATTCTCCAGGACGGATCATATATTAGGTCACAAAACAAGTCTTTCAAGAAATTTAAGAAGAATGAAATCATACCAAGTATCTTTTCTGACCACGTGAATGGAACTAGAAATCAACAGCAGAATGAAAACTGGAAAATTCACAAATATGTTGAAATTAAACAATACACTTTTGAACAAGCAATTGGTCAAAAAGAAATAGAGAAATTAGAAATAGAATTAGAAAATATCTTGAGACAAACAAAACATACTTATGAGATGAAGAAAAAGCAGTACAAAGAGGGAAGTTCCTACATTAAAAAGGAAGAAAAATCACAAATATACGACCTTACACCTCAAGAAACAAACTAAACCCAAAGTTGGCATAAGAAAGGAAATAATAAAGATTAGAACAGACATAAAAAAAATAGAATAGAAAAATAACAGGAAAAAATGAATGAAACTCACAGTTGGTTTACTGAAAAAAATAAAATTGATAAACTTTTAGTTAGAGTAAGAAAAAAAGAGAAAACTCAAAATAAAAAATGAGGAGACACCATAACTGATGTTACAGAAATGAAGAGGATCATTAAGAGGCTAGTATGAACAATTACACACCATGAAAGTGGATAACCTGGAAGAAATAGATAAATTCCAAGAAATATGTAACCTACCAAGGCTGAATCATGAAGAAACAGGAAGTCTGAATAGACTATAACCTAGTAAAGACATTAACTCATAATAAAAAATCTCTCAACACGGGACGCCTGGGTGGCTCAGTAAGTTAATCGTCTGCCTTCGGCTCTGGTCATGATCCTGGGGTCCTGGGATTGAGCCCCATGTCAGGCTCCCTGCTCAGCGGGGAGTCTGCTTCTCCCTGTGCCTCCCCCCATGCTCTCTCTCTCAAATAAATAAATAAAATCTTAAAAAAAAAAACAAACTCTCAATAAAAGCCCAGGACCAGATGGCCTCATTGAAGTCTACCAAACATTCAAATAATAATAATACTGCCAACCTGGGGGTGGGAGAGGGTTGCTAATCCTAAAACTCTTCCAAAAAACTGAAAAGAAAGGAACACATTCAAACTCATTACCCTCATGCCAAAGCCAAAGACACCATGAAAAAGAAAACGACAGGCCAATTCCGTAATGAATATTGATGCAAAAATTCTCCACAAAATACTAGTAAACCAAATTCAACAGCACATTAAAAGGATCATATACCATGACCAAGTGGAATTTATCCCTGGGATGCAAAGATAATCCAATATACAAAAATCAATTAATGTGATACACCACATTAAGAGAATGAAAGATTGGAGCACCTGGGTGGCTCAGTAGGTTAAGTGTCTAACTTTGGTTCAGGTCATGATCTCAGGGTCCTGGGATCGAGCCCCACGTCCGGCCCCGTGCTCAGTGGGGAGTCTGCTTTTCTTTCTCCCTCTCCCTCCACTCGTGCTCTGTCTCTCTCATATAAATAAAAAAATCTTAAAGAAAAAAAAAGAGAATGAAGGATAAAAATTATATCATCATCTCAACAGATGCAGAAAAAGCATTTGATAAAATTCAACACCTTTTCATGATGAAAAACTCTCAACAAACTAATAACACGGATATTACCTCAACATAATAAAGGCCACATATAAAAAGCCCACAGCTAATACCATACTCGATGAAAAATTGAAAGCTTTCCCTCTAAGATCATGAAGGAAAAACGCCCACTCTTGCCACTTCTACATCTGGTATACAGAAAACTCTAAAGACTTCATGTACAAACTGTTAGAACTTACAAACCATTAAATTAGGTTTTCAGTTTGCAGTTGCAGAATACAAAGTAAATGTACAAAATTAGTTTTGTTTCTTTACACTAACAATAACCTGAAAAAGAAATTAGAAAAACAATCCCATTTATAATAGCATCAAAAGGAAAATTTTTGTATTTTTTGTATCCACAAAATACCTAGGAAAACACATAACTAACGAGGTAAGGGACTTGTACAATGAAAACTGCAAAACACTGATGGAAGAAATTAAAGATACACAAGATGATGGAAAGATATTCTGTGCTCATGGACCGCAAGAATATTGTAAAAATCTCCATATTCCCAAAACAATCTACTGATTCATTTTTTTTTTAATTTTTATTATTTTTTTTAATTTTTTTTTTTAAGATTCTATTTATTCATTTGAGAGAGAGAGAATGAGAGATAGAGAGTACAAGAGGGAAGAGGGTCAGAGGGAGAAGCAGACTGATTCAATGCAATCCCTATCAAAATCCCAATGGCATTTTCTATAGAAATAGAAAAAAACAATTCAATGAGCCAAAATCATCTTTAGAAAGTATAACAAAGCTGGAGGCTTCACATTTCCTGATTCCAAAATATATCATACAGCTGCAGTAATTAAAACAGAATGGTACTGGCGTAAAGACATACATATAAGTCAACAGAAGAAAACAAATAAATTCACGTATACACTGTCAATTAATATGCAACAAAGGTGCCAACACTATAACAAAGGGAAAGTCTCTTTAACAAATGATGATGGGAAAACTGAACACCCACATGCAAAAGAAATTTGACCTTTATCTTATACCCACACAGAAAAATTACCTCAAAATGTATTAAAGACTTAAACATGAGACCTGACACTGTAAAGCTTCACATAGGGGAAAAGTTTCGTGACACTGGTCTTAGTGATGATTTCAGGATATGAAACAAAAAGCAAAACAGACATACAGGACTACATCAAATTT